CAAGCGGCGGCGGCGGGAGACGGCAGCCTGTCGCCCTCCCCCAAACGCAAGCGGGGCCGGCCCCGCAAAGACCAGCGCCCGCCCGAGATGGCCGCGGACTGCCCCGCCAGCCCCTCGGCGTCGAGGTCCCCCGCTGCCGCCCCCACCTCTCCCCTCCTCCGCAGCTCCCCGCCCGATCCCTCCTGCCTGCCAGTGCCTGCCGAGACCCTGCCGCCCAGCCCCCACAGGCAGGAGGCGCAGCTGGAGGGGGAGGACAAAGAGGCAGCACTGAAGCAGAGTCCCACAGAGTCCCGGGTAGGAGAAGAGGGGGGGAATGGCAAGATGGCGCCGCCTGAGGAGAGCAAGAGCAAGGGCTCGGAGAACAGGAGGCCAGGGAAGAGGAGGGACAGCGAGAGCCGGGACTCGGAGGACAGGAGGCCAGGGAAGAGGAGAGACAGCGAGAGCGGGGCCGAGGCAGACGAGGAGTTGCCGCCCCACCGCAAGAAGAGGAGAGTGACCCGCTCCTCTCAGGAAGAGCACTCCCCCTCTCCCTCCCTGCGCAGAGTGACCCGAGCCGCCGTCAGGGGCCGCAGTCCCCGGCCAGAGGAGCAGCGGAGGCGCAGCCGGGCCAGGCAGGGGGGCAAGAGGGGCAAGAGGGGCAGACGCGCGGCACAGGAGGAGGAGACGGAGCCGCCGCAGCACCGGCGCAGCAGTCAGAGCCAGGAGTCGACGCGCTCTTCCTCCGCGTCGTCGTCCTCCTCCTCCTCCTGCTCGGCCTCCACCAGATCGTCCTCGCTGTCCACCGGCAAGAAGGGCGGCCGAGGGAAGGCAGCGGTCAAGAGAAAAGGAGAGGAGGTGGAGACGGAAGAGGAGGAGGACGCTCCCCAGAGGAGGGTCACCCGCTCCTCCCGGACAGACGCCCTGGCCGCCACCGCCACCTCGCAGTCCTCCTCCCCCTCGTCCTCCGATTCGGAGGCGTCCGGCGGGGCGGGCGAGCGGCGCCTGACACGGGCGTCCCAGCGCAGGCCGGAGGGCAGGCGGCGGGAGGCGGAGCGCCAGGGCGAGGGCGGGGACAGGAGGAGAGCGCCGAAGAACCTGAAGAGGAGAGAGCGTCCGCGGGAGGCGGGCTCGTCCGGCAGGCTCACGCCCAACACCACCACCACCACCGGGGG